TGACGATTGTTTCTATTTGACTATTATTCTGAATGGATGAAATTGGTTAAACAATTTACAAAAAGAAAATGAATTAATCAAGAAATGCCAAATGTGGGTAGACGGAGCTTTCAGTTATTCGTAGACGTCGAGATGCTTCGCTCGGAATGTAGATAAACATAGTTGCACTATTATTCTGGTGTTGTTTCTTGCTTGTTCAATCGTGTGATGAATTGTTTATGTGAAGGCCGCCACAGGCAAAAATTAGAATATTTGGCAATTTTTTTGTTTGTTCATGTGAACATGTTTTATAAGTTTTTTGAATTTATTCATGTGAACATGTTTTATAAATTAGAACATGTTTATTCATGTGAACATTTGGCAATTTTTTTGTTTGCTTCAATCAATTAATATTAAACTATTAAAATTTATTGAATAAAACATTATAAAAAAAAAATTCTCAAAATTTCAAAGTAAACGCGTTTTCAAGTTTTCTATTTTCAGAAACAGTTTTTAAGAATGACAAAGAGAACGAGTTTTCAACAATTCCAAAACAGACGCTTAAAACAGAAAATACAAAATGAATTCAAAACTCAAAACACAAAACGGAAACACAAAGAGAATGACCCCTAAGTTTTTTATTTTCTTTAAGTAATCAAAAACTCTCCAAATTGCCTTCCAATGTTCCTTACTCGAGTTACTAATAAACCTATCAAGTTTACTAATCGCAGATGCTATGTCTGATTTTGTGTATTGAACTGCATACATAAGACTCACTATAAAACTTACATACTCCAATTGAGCAATTGCTCTGCCATCATTCTTTAGAAGATTAGAACTTGGATCAAGAGGAGTAATATACTCTTTTATATTTAAATATTTAAACTTATTTGTCATATACTCGATATAATGTGATTGACTCAAATAGTAACTTCCGCGATTCTTAGTAACTTTGATATCCAATATGGTATTCACTTGTCCCAAGATCCTTCATCTTAAATGTGGAAGAGAGAAACATTTTTGTTTCTTCTGTTCCATCCATGTGATTATTCAAAATTAACATGTCATCAACATAAAAACAAACAAATATAATATTTTTATCACATACTTTTGAATATAGATACTTTTCTACACTATTATGTATAAACCCAAATGAAATAATTGATAAGCCTATTTTTTTCATGTCATTTCTTAGGTACTGTGGTTTTACTATCTTGCACACTTTGTGTTTATTTTTAAGTAGAACAAATATTTGTAGCCATAGTTTTCAGCAGCGACAACGTCATCTCCAACTCTGATTAGATCTTCTTTGTAGTAGTTTTCATGCTAGCGGTGGTGAATCTACATGGTGGTATTGATGCTACTTGTGATAGTGGTAGTGGTGGGGGCAGGGATAGTAGTTGTAATTTTGGATTTGATTTTGGTGGTGTTTGGATTGTGGCGATCATGATGTTGGCTACAATGGTGAGGATGTGATGATGTCGACGGGGCGGGGCGGGGCGGTGAGGTGATCAGGGGGATCAGTGGGTGAGATGGATTGTTTGGTTTATTATTACCAATAAATCAGTTAATTCGCAACAAATAAATAATGTGATTAATGAAATAGATAATTTGTAATTAACAAATAATGTGTAACCTAAAAATTTGTTACGTTGTGATCAACAATTTGATAATTTTTGACATGAAATAAATTGTTACTTAAAAAATTTGTGGTTGTGACAAATGAAGAATATGAGACCTATTAATTTGATAAATTTGTGGCCTATAAAATTTGTGATTTGTGACTCGCGCCTCTAACTTAACTAATACATAACCGTGACTATAAATTATATACTATTATCACCTTAATATATTTAACTAATAAAATATATTTTTAATCAATCATTTCAAAAATAAAATATAATTAACATCTTATTTTTGAAATAATATACATTGTTTCTTAATTTTGAAATGAGTCAAATTTAATCACTTACATATGAAATTTTTCCTTAAAAAATTTGTCTACCTATTTTGGGTTAAAAATTTTGAGTAGTGCATATTAGTAATATATATAATGTAATAAACAAGCAATTATACAAAAAAGAAAAGAAAAGTAATGGTACAATCTAAATTTGGAATTTACAACAAATACTTCTTCTTGCTTTATTTTCTTTCAAAATTTAGAGCTTCGATAGAAGAAGCGTAGATGGTAAATAAGTTGTTTGGGAAGATATACATATAGCATTATTCAAACCAAAATATATCTAACCAGTGGACCCCCAGAATTAGGGCGTGTTTGGTGAGATAAAATTAAAAAGTCCGGCAAAGAGAAAAAAATTAAAATTTTATTTATACATATTATAGCAGTTAAGGTAGGAACAAAACAATCCATACAAGTCAGCAAATGCCAAATTCTTTTTGAATATTTCTCATAACCTTTTTTCCAATTAAAAACGTCAAGGAAACACTAATACAACAATAATAATAGTTAATTAAAAAATTACGTGCTTCTTTCCAAAAATAAGTAATTAGCGCCAAGCAGATGTGACGGTGAGTGTTCGTCCCATCCAACCGAAGGAGATGCCGCCACAAGGTTCGTTCACGGTGAAGCCTGGATTGCCACGTGTCCCTGAATTCAGTTTGAATCGAAGTGAGTCCGAAACGAGTTGACTCACGGGTCTGGATTCAAATCCAGCCATGCTCAGCCGGGCCCGCCACTTGCCAAACAATTCGCATCTGTCAACACGATCTCTGCCTTCGCACGCAACCGAGTTGCTCATCTTTCGACCCAGTCCCTCCTCGATCTTGACACGGTTTGGGTTATCCCTCGCAACAGTCGCGTCCAGCGAGTCAAACAATGCGCCGTAATACTCGCATGCCTCCTTCACACGCGCCACCAGTGGCGCGGTATTGGCGTTCATTTCCTGCTCCACCACCGTTACCACATTAGGCGACAACCCTTTCACGCGGCGGAGCAGCTCGTCACGCAAATTCTCCGTCGTTACACTCTCGTCCGGCAACTTGTAAAGTTTAAACGCGAAATTCACAGCCAAAGCCTCGTCAGAATCCAAGGCGAGTTTCTCCCTTGTCAATTCACAAATATTTGAATTCATTATGCAGAAACAGAACCTAACACCTATTTTACTCGCTAATGCTTTAAGTTCCTCTCCAACTATCTTCAGCTTCTCTTCGCCGCCGCTGATAAAATCCGTGAAGGTGGTGATCTTCAAAACAGCAAGCTTTTTTCCTCCATTTTTGGCGGCGAGAGCATGGAGTAAATGCTCATACTGTCCACCTTGCCCAATATCAAAATCCACAACATGAAGCTTGTTAAAAACTTGATCCGACGCAGCCTGGAGGATGGCAAGATTTGCTGCCATGAATCCGAGCTTAAAACACGGCGAAACCTCGTACAACATTTGTGTCGTGATAATATGTTCCTCAGTGTACAAATCCGACACCGCCGGTGGATTATCGGATGGATTCACGCGCGACTTCAGAGCGGAGGCTAAATAGGCGGCGAGTCTCTGTTCAGAAGTGCCTGTTGCGTTGGCCACCTGACGGAGGCGCGTGAGAATTTCCAACGCAATTTCTGTCTTCCCTTCAGAGATCGCAACTGCAGCGTCGATCATGGACTGTTTGGGGCAAGGCAGCGGAGAAGCAGAAGTGGAGGCACATGATGAGGAGGAAGAAGTCGGAGAGGGAGAAATGGGCTTCTGGGTCGGGTTTATCAGGTTCTGGATCGTATCAGACCACTCACTGTTGGTCACCACAGAAACCGGTTCATCTTCATCTTCATCGCACAAGAGCTGTTTTTCCAACTCCTGTAACCGATTATTCATCATCTTCTTCTCCGACTCTTGCGTTAAAAAGTATTCCCGACCAGGAGCTGTACCCGTATTTATACCCGAACCCGCTCCGTTCTGTGCTAGATTCGGAAAGGAAGTACGCATATGAGGGTTATTCATATTTTGAGGTCCGAGTTGCTGAAGAATTGGAACTCCATACCGCGGGTTTCGGTTTATCGCCGGGGAATTCGAAATTGCAGATATCGCGGCTACATCGGTCGAAATGGAGGAAACTGGAGAGAATTCAACAAGAGATAAAGGAGATACCGGAGATGCATACTGATAACTGGTTCTGGGCTTCACGTTCCTCAGATAAAACCCCAAACCGTTTTGATTCTGTAACTGCTGCTGTTGAAGAAGACTTTGCTGTTGAAAATCTGCCAGAGATCGTTTTCCGATCAAATCCGGTCGGCGTGAAGGCGTGATCTGAGAAGCCGTTTCGGTGGGGGACCTGTAAGAAAATTGCTGTTGCGGGTTAAGGTTGTTCATTGTGGGCCTCAAACCGGCGGTGTAGAATTCGGAACCTCCTCCGGAGAACCCAGAAGACATTTTAACACCGGAAAAATCGAATATTTCGCTTACAACTTGTATACTTTCACATAAAATATGTCTGATCCTTTGAAAAATTCAGCATTTAGAAGCCAAAAAAAAAAAAAAGATTTTAGAGAGGGAGAAATAAGAGGGAGAAGGGGGACCAGGTAGGTGAAGAGGTTTTCAATTTTAAGCTATTGGATTGAAATTCTTGTCATTTTTTATAAGAAAGGGCTGTAGTTTAGTTTTAGAGAGAGGGGGGAGACTACACATATACATATAACACATATACATATAAAGATACGAGGGTCGGGTGGGTGAGGTTTCCAGCTGGCTACGAAGTCCACAGGTTTTGTGGTTTTAATTGAAAATTGCTTCTTTTACGACAAATGCTGTACGCGTGTCTCTCTTTATGATCCTCAGATTAGTCTTTTCAAAACTTCGAGGTTAAGTCGACGGTTGGATTTGAGTGGTTTCTTGACCTTTGAGACACATAACCACGCTCAATGTCATCACGTGAATTCACACACAACACTACTGTATTGGAAGAATCTTGTAATGATGTAAAGGTCGCTAAAGTGTTATAACTGACCAAGTTTTCAATGATTTCTAATTCTATATTTTCCAATCATAGGCCAAAAAATTAAATCATTTTCATTAAAAAATAAAAATTAAATTATTTATCGTTAAAATATAAAACTATAATTATATATATATAGCATGAATTATTGAGATTTATCGTTTTTCTATTTCGGCAGTGGTCTGTGTAATTTTACTCGGAGTAAAAATTTACATGACAAAAATATATATTGCGATTGTCATGACTTTTCATTTTGTGACAACATTACGGGATTGTTACATTGACACAGGGGTGGAGCCAAGGGGAAAAAATATTATTATTATTATATTAGATTGATACATAGAAAAAGATTTAAAAAAATATTTAACCCTACAAAGTAATTTGGCCTGGGGCTAAACCTCCCTTCTCCCTCTCCCTGCCCCTGCATTTACACGTTGGAATGCTCGTTATTAGTGTGATGTGCTTTCTACCTTCCAATTAGTTCATTGTGAGTCTGTATATATGTTTTTTTTTCTAAATATGCTTGGTAACATTTATAATGTGAACTTTAGAAATTTAATTTCCTACCAAACTTTAAATTATTGCAATGAATATAATGATGGTATGAATTTGTGATGCTGCAAATATTATAAATATAGGGTTGGTTAGCTGATTGTTATAAGGGTCGATATAGATCGATTATGCAACAGCATCACATAGTATTTTACGCGTGGGCGATTATGGGCATGATTTCGGACTTCTTAAAATCCTGGCATTGTGACTGTTCCAATTCAGTTAACCAATTTCTTGAAGAATAATTCTCCTTATACAACTTTGGATTACAATAATGGATGATAATCTCTCACAAAAGGGTGGGGCCCACGATTAAATAATCACTGGCCCCACTCCCTTGTGAAAGATTGTCATCCATTATTGTAATCCAAGTGTTGTACATGTAGTATTATTGTTTGTTGAATAATGTTATCTAATAGCTCTTATACTGCAACAACAATCTAGGTGGTACTATATAATAGATTCGATTCTAGTTAAAAATATTTGATTCGTTTAAGTGTGCCTCTCGTTTAATGTTACTTAGTGCCGCTTAGATTGATACTGTAACATCAATAATGTTAAACATCATTACTCACGAGTAGTTTGTTTATATTGAACATTCATTTTCAGAATTACTTTTGGATGTGATTGATTGACACGTGTTAGTGGTTTAATTGTTGTGCGCCCGGATTCGGGGAATTTGGAAAATAAAAGGTTGTCGTGTTGGCAATGCACTCGCGATTTCAATATTTACCTCACATTGAAGAGGAAAATCGTAGTTAAATGAAAGTTAATTTTGCATTCAATTGTTAGAATTTTCTCTACTAATTGTGGCAATGATTTCAAATGCATGGGTTAATTTTAAGAATATATCCATATTTTATTTGGTAACTCTAACCAATTCCGATGGCTAAGAATTCCTAGTAGAGGATTATATTTCATATTTATTGAATACGAGAAATATGCTTTGTCATTCTGAGGAGTGAGACTTTTAAAATTTATTTAAATGAAATGCTGCGTAATTAAACTTACATGTGATATGCAGAAACAAATAATAAATTTCGGTCCTGAATTCTATAGTAAAGTGTAATTAAATACCTTATTTATTTAGAATATTTTTATTAATTGAGATGAATTCAAGTAAAACCTAACATATCTATACACAGCTTCGTCTTGTATTAATGTCAGATTTTTAGTTTATCTTCAATTTTCTAAAGTCTTTTCATAATATCTGTGCTTGTGTGAAAGTAATTATTTGAATAATAATAAATTTTGAATGTATGGTTCAAAGGTAAGAAAAAATTATAGAGCAACATGAAAAATGTTCATTTTTAGAATATATGATTCAAAATAAGTGCACGATGAAAGTGGCTAAAAGTAAATTGCTTCGAATTGAAATTTTGATGGAGAAGCCATTACCTTTTGTATAATCTTTCATTGATTATTGGTATGTTTCGATTGTTTGGAAAATTTCTCACGTCATTGCTATTTTGAGGGAGTTCAACTACTATCTTCGATAGGGAAATGTAACTTACCTCCTCAAGAACTTCGACATAATTTCAGTGAGAAGTATAAGACTAAGTTACCTAGAGTAGACGATACCTTGATGATATGTAAATGGTTTTTAATGGAGTAAACAGTCAGAAATTACTCAAATTGGTTTGCTATTTCCATCAAAGATATAATTGACAACACGAAGTTGTACATTATCCATTTCTTGCAAAGATACGGAGAAAGAGTGTTGCTAAATTTATACCATCCGTTTTTCATATTCCGACGAAAGGTCAAACCAAGATAAAATACATTTTTTTACTACGCGTGATATGCTGAACATAGATCCAATTTTTCAACTTTTGGATTTCTTGGAATTTGATTTTCATGTTCCTAATGGTATCAAAACGTCGCTGACTTTTCAAGTTACATAAAAATATCACTTTTAGAGAAATAAATTGTCACGTTCTGAAATTTGTAAATGACCATCGCTGCTTGAGTAAAGATTATGTTTTGCACCTAGTCGATCCTAATGCATGTACACAGAGTTATGCTTCTCCATGTTGTACTAGACTTTTTGTTTTGAGGAGCTTCAGTGCTCATCTGTCTACTCTTAGTTATTTCATTGTGTTGTTTTAATCATATCTAGACATTTCGTCGTCCATGTTTGACACACATTCTTTCAAAACTTATTTTTCCATAAAATTATATCTTCCATCACATCAATAACTTTTATTTACTTTTTAACCACGTATTTTCCATTATATCACTATTTAAAATACATTATTTCTTAAATAATATCCATCATTATACTGTTTTAAGACAATATACAGTGTTTAAAGCAACATTTACATTTTATTATTTCTACAATATAGGAAATTACCTCGATAGATAGTATATTATTTATAAATAATGTTATTCATCTCCATTGGGATTGGGCATCAGTTTAGGTGACAATTACACGATATTAAATGATAGATACATTTAAATGCAAAGTCACGTGACTCGTTTAATTGAGTCTATTATTTAATGTCATGTAATGCCACCTAAATTGGTGTTCAACCTGGTGGGGATGAATAGCATATACATTATTAATGCATCTAAGTTAGAGATATAATGAAATGTATTGCACACCATTATATGTTAGCATTTATAAATTTCACTACCTTTATACCTAGCCACCTTCCTATCCAAGCATGTTTGGAAGTTGTTTATAATCTATTTAAAATATAATTAGATTGAAATAAGTGTGATTTAAGAAACTTGTGAATAAAAAATGATTTGACTGTTATAAATAAATTATAAACTCTCGCCGAACATGCACTAATCTCTAGTAAAGTTACTTATGAGTGTATATACCGATGCATATGTAAGTAATATCGTGTACTCGTATAATGTATATACCGTTTTATTTTCTCGATTTACCTCATTTATTTCCAACTAAAAAGAAGATGTGAAATCAATTGAATATTTATGTACATAGAAAAATATCAATGGAGAGTAAAACAACGTGGAAGCTTCGAATTCATTCTAGCATTACAAAATGTGGTTTCGCCATTAAAATGCAACTGTCTTTCCGTGTCTCAATGAATATTTGACAGAATGGTAAGTATTAAAGGTTCCCAACTTTAATCACCATAACTTTTTTACTTTATCAGTGTACTGTGATTTTATTGTTCTCCCTTCAGTGTTGATTATATGTAGAAGTATAAAATAGAATTTTGAGATCAGGACGAAAATGTAACAAAGAGCATGCTCTGATTGGGTTTTGGTTTTAATCGGAAACGAAGTAAATTGGGCATTGATGAGAATTCAACATATTGAGCAAAACGGCTCATGTGCCGTGATGGAACCAATCGGAATCGAAGTAGATCAAGCATTAATGAGAACCAATTGTTTCTAGTTCGGTCCAATCCATTTCCCATTTATACTACTTTAGATGAAAAGATTTGTACTTTCTATTTGAGTGTTGGATCATTTTGAAATATATTAATTTATTTAAATTAACTTCATGGCTAATATAATATAAAGATTATAAAAAATATGTTCACTATTTATCTTGGATTCTTGCAATTTTTTTAGGATGTTATATGCTAAACATGTTCATTACGTTGATCCAAAGAATAAAAGATGAAATTCGAGATACGGTTTGATTTGCATTAACGATGTGCACGATTTGACACGTCTTTTGCTAATTGTGTCATATCTTACAAAGTCAAAACGTTTACTAGAGTGAAATAACATTTTCTTGCACTAATTTTTTTCCCGACATGCACGAAATTGTTTAAGAAAAAAAAAAAGGTAGGGTAATTCCCAACAACACTGTTGTTTCCTTCCCCACTATGGAATTAAAACTTCTATGATCAATAATAGAGCAAATGAACCACTTAAATCCCTTCCCTACATTTCATTGTCA